CATCCATCCATCCATCATTCATCCATCGTCCATCCATCCATGATCCTTCCATTATTCATCCGTCATCCATCCGTCCATCGTCCATCCATCATCCATCCATCATCCATTCATCATCCATTCATCCACCCATCCATCCATCCTCTTCCTCTTGTTCTGGACTCAGGTCTCGGGGCAGCATCTTGAGCAGGGAGGTCCAGACCTCTCTCTCTACAGCCTCTTCCAGCTCTTCTGGGAGGACTCCAAGGTGTTCCCAGACTAAGAGAGACGCGTAGTCTCTCCACTGTGTCCTGGGTCTTCCCCAAGGTCTCCTCCCAGTTGGACATGCCCCAAGCACCTCCCTAGGGAGGTGTCCAGTGAGAATCCTTACCAGATGAACCACCTCAACTGGTTCCTCTGGATGTGGAGGAGCAGTGGTTCTACTCCGAGTCGCTCCTGGAGAACTGAACTTCCCCCTGAACTTGTTTACACCTCGTGGATCCAGGATCTGGTTCTTCTGGTCTCTTTCCTAACTTTAACTTTATAAAACGTTCTAAAACCAGGACCAGGGCCCCTTGGACCCAACTTCCTGTTCTGACTTCTGGTAAATGCTGCCAGCTGCACAAACATCTGGATTCTGTTGGCTTATCAGCAGCCGACTGGAAGGCCACATGTTGTTCAGGCCTGGGGGGTCCGAATGAGTCATAAACTGGGCCTGTAGGCTGGTTCTGCTTCTTCTTTAGTTAAAGAAGTGTCTCTGCTGGTTGGTGCTCCTTGAGGTCCTGGGACATGTTTCAACATGAACCGGATCAGAACCGGATTTTTCTGGGCCTGTTTTTGTTTAGTGAACTGGACCTAAAACAACAAACTGAACTGAAGTTCCCATCATGGTTCTTCAGTCCCCCAGCAACCAACCAGAACCAGATCAGAACCGGTCTGAGAGCCAAGGATCCGCCGGATCGATAAGGATCGGTTGGGAGGGGGCAGGGTCCAGGCCTCCCCAGGGACACGGCAGCAGCAGGAAAATATTCAGTTCCCATGCACACTGGGGGGGAGGGAGGGGGATCTGTTTACACTGAGCTCTAGTGGAACCGTGAGACAATTAAAGATGGACCAGACGGAACCGGGCCCTGCAGAACTTTACTCTGATAGAAAGAACAAGTTCTCTGGGTTTAATGGAGAGGATTTAATCCAGTTTATAGAATCCAGTTTATAGACAGGACCTGTTTACACCAATACTCAGATCCAAATCATGAATCCAGTTTAGATCCAGTTCAGTTCCAGATCACTTCCAGCTGGAAAAACTGCATCTGAAGGCTGAATGACATCACTAATATTTTTATTATTAAAGTCTTTGAGGTTAAAAGAAGCTAAAAGCAAGAAAGGTAAGCTAACAGTAGCAGATGATAGCTAAAAGCTAACAGTAGCAGATGATAGCTAAAAGATAAAAGTAGTAGATGATAGCTAAAAGCTAACAGTAGTAGATGATAGCTAAAAGATAACAGTAGCAGATGATAGCTAAAAGATAACAGTAGCAGATGATAGCTAAAAGCTAACAGTAGCAGATGATAGCTAAAAGATAACAGTAGCAGATGATAGCTAAAAGATAACAGTAGTAGATGATAGCTAAAAGATAAAAGTAGCAGATGATAGCTAAAAGATAACAGTAGCAGATGATAGCTAAA